GATTTTGAGAGAATACAAGTCAAATTTTCTTTCTTTGTCTTTTTACATCAAATTTCCAACAAACACCCGCCAAACATGAAAAATCTATACAATTGTTAAAGTGAGTTAATCCTCCATAATTTGTCAAACATAAAAAATATAGAATGGTTAAGCTAACCCCTCTAAAAGGATTAAAATGAGTTAACCCCTCAAAATAAGGGGTTTACTAATACTCCTATTTAGAAGAATTAAGAGTTAACCCTTCTAATTATAAAGAAAATAGTCAAAATCATTGTTATTCCTAAAAACTAAAATTGATGACAAATGCTAAAATAAAACTTATTTAGCAGGTGAATAATTTAGTCCTTTATAGATTATCGAATGGGGTTAGTACATTAATCATTTTCTTTAACCCCTCTTTATTAACCATTTGCCAAACATGGCCTAAGAGTAAGAAGATATAAGAACAAGGGTATCAAATAATAATTTAAGGGTAGGTCCATCGTGGCAAGGTTCAACCGGGACATGAGGTTTGCTTCAAGATGATAATGGGACTTGGGTTAATGGTTTCATGAGTCGTTTCGGTGCTACTAACGCGTTTAACTCGGACTAGGCTATTCTCTATGGGCTTAACTATAGCTTGGGAGCTTCGTTGTCCGCAAATTTATGTCGGAAACATATCATAACAAAGAAAAATTCTTTAATGACCCAAAATATGGGACCAATAAGGAGGATGTGTCCCCCTCCTATTGGATAATGAGTTGGCCATCATTAACTTGTCCCCTTTATTGGTCTTATATTTTGGGTTCCTGTAGCAAAGCTCTTCTTTAAGGGACTAATATAAAAATATAAAAAAGATAAATAAATCGGCAACTCCGAGAAGGGAAAAAAGGTGAGTTCAAAATGATACGACCGTCGACAGCAGGATTCGAACCTGCGCAGGCAGAGCCCAACAGATTTCGAGTCTGTCTCCTTAACCACTCGGACATATCGACGCTGTTGACGTTTTCAATTTTATTGATTTTAGTCCCATCTCACCTAAAGACCAACCTGCCAGATCGCTAAACATTCTTTTTCATAACTACCTTAATACGGATTAGTAGGGTAGCATCAAGTTAATGAATCCCATTTTACATTAACCAAGAGGGTTGGTTGATATGTATCTGAAGCACTTGAACATTCCACTGAATGTTATTACTGAGAATTTTGCAATATGAACTACAAAGGAGTTAAAGGAATCATCTACCACGAGAATGCAATTCAACACACATCTCATGATCCTTGTCCAAACAAATTTCAGTAGGTTGATGATAGAAGACAACTAGTAATGGTTCAAGGAATGATGCAAAAAAGAAAGAGGCCCAAAACTAAATAAATAAACCGCAACGAAAATGCTCTTCGAAGACAGCGGAGAAAGAAAAATCATTTTACTTAGGAAAAAATTGTACATGCCTCCGTATGCGAATTTGCATAATAGGAGCACCCGCTCAATAACTCAATACTGTACAAGAATATGTTTTGCTAAACAAAGGGAAAGGTAATAACTCTAGAAGAAAAAGAAATACATAAATGCTCATAAGAAAACTCCGAGGATGAAGGAGCTATAGATTGGTCAAAACTCAGGAGAGGTAGCGGCCTGGGCAGTTGACTATGATGTATCAGGCAGCCAAATCCCTGACACTTTAAAGTTCAAACATTCGAAAATTTTGCGAAAACTTCTGCTGAATTTTGACAAGCAATTTTAGAGCCTAGCTTAAAATCTCTCGACTTGAAGACAACTTCATTGACATATAATCATATATTATTGCAGAGGATACAACTTGGATATCATGTTAGAGGGGCGACAACTTCCAAATTCTTCTGTACTGACCAGCCTTTAGGATTGAGAAGTTCAGGAGCTTCCAAATTTAGATGCCACGCCATGATCTTAGAACAGTCACTAGGAATTCCCTCCATTTGACTTTCATCCTCAATCAATTGCTCAATGAATGTCATCTCCTGAAATTAAACATCTCTATGGGTAACTTTAAGTAACATATTTTCCCATAATAAATAATTGTGAAAATAACTTTAAAATAGAATTTGAGTAGGTAACCCTGGCAATTACTTGTAAGCTATTAATTTTCTCCAAAAAAAATTGCCGCATCAAATTCCTTATAATATGCAAGCTGGCCTCTTGTATACATATATGGGGGGATGCTGGACATGAGTTATCTCATTTAGCGACAAAAGCTACCAAGAGACTTAATTAGTGAGGTCCACTTGCTCCAATAGTGAGTAATGTATAGCCTGAGTAAAGCATGGTAGGCCACGCAATTAATCCATGACCATCTCTTAATAGCTCAATTAGAAAAACGAGTTGCCATCTCATACCTTTTTTCCCCTATATATACTAGTATTATGGTGCATGCAATGCATACATGAAAAGGAACCTCCTAGAGTGTTGTAGTCCAATTATCAAGAGAACAGACAAACAGACAATTTGTAAGGTTGTTTTGGCATTTTCTAAGTTTGACGGTATCTTCATTGGTTTTTCCGGACTGAAGACATTTCCGCTCATTTTTTTTCAAATGTGAGAATCTCCCCCCCTCCCCAACCGCCACAACAAAAAAAGAAAGTGGACATTTCTGGAATTTTGAAAATGAAGGACACACAAACCTAGGAGGGAGTGGACTTCTTCTAAATAATAGTAAAGACGTAACAAAATCATGGATGATAACAATATATCACTGGCTTGAGAGGAAAGAAGACTAACTTGGAAACCCTCTTTGGATTTGTCACGTAGCCTAATGGGCTCGAGAGATGGACGGTGCCATCTTTTAGGATCCCAAAGTACAGTGCTATTGAACGCAAATCCTGACATATCAACATGAAATCTTCGAGATAACTTGCTCCTTTGCTTTGTGTGCCATCCGATTATTTGACTGCCGTTGCAAACAGGACCTTCAAATAACACCTTGTTCTTGCTTTCACTCAGCACTGCAATTAGCCATGCACCGAAACGCCTGTAAAACCAAGTAAATCATGATATTTAAATTTATAGTTGTAATCTTAGGGGGGAAATAAACATCATGATGAGAAAATAGGCCAATTATCTGATAGGCATTAGCTGAAACTGATTCAAAGTGATTCATGTTCTTTATCAAAATCAAAGTACTTGATACTACTGTTCCTTGCATAATTACTACAAAACCACTTAAAGGTTCTTTTTTACCATAAAAATTTATAACAACACGATGTAATGGTATTCCGTATTCCAAATAGTGATTAAGTACATTGAAGAATAGGCAGAAAACCATAACCATATTATACAATAACAGTCATATAAGAGCTTTCACATCCAGTTAACGTCGTGCAGTTCTGAGAGAGAAATCAGTCATAGAAAATGCATTCCTTATGCTTTCAGTGTCCTCCAATTTCACAGGATTACTAGAATTTGAATTAAAAATTTTAACTGCTAACCTGAAGGTCCAGTGCTACGAATGGTCAGGCATAGAAAACAATAGTTAGCTATGTCACATGCTGCTTGTTACGGGTAGACTCCTTTTTCTAAATCCAGCTTTTTGTGTCAAAATAATAACCTCAAACATTCACAATGATATACTCTAGAATGATGGTGAGGTGATGGTGGTAATGCTGGGCCCACAATGATGCTGGTGGAAGTCTGGTGTAAGAGGAAGGAAATCCGGGAAGAAGATGAGTCTGATGAGATTAGAGAGGTTTCTGGAAAATAAGTTTTCTCATGAAAATCGCACCAAAGTGGAAATGCAGCTTGCTTGCCCATCATGAAGGGGCTCACATTCTCAAGAATTGGAGAAATGTGGTACTCAGGTATCAAATTTCCATAAATGCTGAGCTGCACAGAAATTTGTACGGAATCCCAAATTGAGCAGATTCCAGTACACCAATCACAAAGCAGGGGACAATGCTCTCAAATTAACATGAAATGATTACGATGTCAATTATATTATACTATAATAGAAGTTCTACAGGTAATGTATTAGGAGTACTGGAGTAGTCCACCCCATGTTCTGAGGAAACGGAGTTCCATTATGATTGATGGGAGATTGTTAACAATGCATCACCGACGAAATTCATCAACTATTGGCAGACAATCTGTAAAATATGTATCAGGTATCTGTAGTAGTCACTTCTCCATATTCTATGTATGTTACGTACCCTATATAAGATTAGAGTTAACACATTCTTGGACTTTGTTTGGTAAGTATGGCATGTTTTTCTCTCATCAAGCCAAGCTATACTTCTTCCATATAAGATCATTCAAGATGTTGAAACCATAGAACTTTGAAATACCAGTTTGTCTTTTGGGCTGATATCAAATAATCTTAATATTTCACATTTTGGAATCTGGTATCATGTGAGTATGCATGTGAGTGTGTACGATCACTAGATTATGTATCAGGTGTTCATAATCGCTTATCCATGTTCTACTGATGTCGCATATCTTACATAAGAATAGACTTAACAAATTCTTGGACTTCGTTTGGTACGTATGACATTGTTTCTGCTCACTTTAAGCCAAGCTACATTTCTCCCATAAAGATCATTCAAGAAGTTGAAACCAGAACACGTGTTCTGGCCCGTCCTGCCAAAGCATATAAGATGGGCATCCCTTCTTCGACCTAAGCACTAAGTATGCCCAAACATCTAATGAATTTCTATGTGACCCTGCTCCAAGGTTAAGGAAGGGGGACCTATCTAAGGGAGAAAGTCATACCTGGACTGCATCTTTGACATATTCCGTTGTTACAACATCGGGTTACTTTGGATTTGCATAGGCAGAGGGAATGGGGGATGTTCATCCCCAGTGGTAGTAGTAAGTAGTACCTTAGAGAGGTAAAATATATCTTGGACTGGCCTGGGGTAGCCTTTCCTCTCACCACATGCGGAAGGAAGCAAACCCTTTTTTTATGTACGACATTCATTTAGTTTAGTAACCCTGAAATACCATTTGTTCTTTTGGTTGGGTAATCTTAAAATTTCTCATTTTGGAATCAGATACATGGCATGTGTGTGAGTGTGTACAATCTTACAAATGGTTCTGAATCTTCTTGATATACAATCATAAGATCAAATTCATGCTCCAGTGATGAACTTTAAACCCATATAAAAGAACAAACTACATCCAAAGTTACACCAAGTCTAAACATGTATGATAACTAGAGAGAAACAATACAGCAAAAGGTGCAAGCACCATATCATGGAGATAATCTCATTGAAGCACACATGAACAAAATTGAATCTCACTTGACATAAATGTTTATAAAAACTGAAAGGGCATAGAGAACAGTAGTTTCACTCAGCGTTCCATTAAGTCCACAACTTAGGACACTAAAACAGAAACAGACCAACATAATAATCCAGAACTGGGATAATAAATAAATTCATTAACAAAAGACGGGTTAAAGGCAAGTACCTGATCTGCCGCATTTGATCAAAGAGGTCAACTGAATACGTTGCATCATCATCTGCGAAATGCACTATACCATCAAGCTGATGCTTCACAATGTGAGAAAGTGCAATGTTTCTCTGATGAACCTCTCTATTTCTCGTGCCAGTTACGTTTAGGTTACACACCAGATGTCTATACATAACCCCAGATTCCCTCAAGATCTTTGCTGTTTCAGTTGACTGTGAAGACATTTCCACAACTATCCAAATAAGAGGAGGTGGAACAACTCTTAAAGTGTGAGCCAACCGATTCAAATAATATGCTTGAAATGGCCTCTCATATGTCGGAGTCACAATTATCAATAGTTTACGAGTGACCAACTCTACATCATGAGAAGGGGGAGTCATCAAAGCTGACTGTATCTCATGTGAATCACCAAGAACCTCACTTTTTACTTCAAAGCTGACTGTATCTCATGTGAATCACCAAGAACCTCACTTTTTACTTCCAATTTCTCTACTGCTTCCAAGCTATGGGTCCCAATTGGTAGAATCACCAAGAACCTCACTTTTTACTTCCAATTTCTCTACTGCTTCCAAGCTATGGGTCCCAATTGGTAGTGGTTTATCACTAGATAGATTCTCTATCTCCAATGAATCAATCTTCCGTTGAGCATTATGAACCAATGTCTCATCCTCAAAAGAAAATGCCTGTTGTCTAGATGGCAAATTCTTGGAGACATTTACCGACAAGAAGGGTGTGCAACTAATGAAAATTCCTAGCATGAAACAAAGACAGTAATGGAAGAAGGACCTTCTCATGCGTAGCCCTTTCGGTTTTGATCTCTCTATAGGCCAGCTACTTCTTGGCGACGAAATGCCACGGAAATCCAATGAGTTTGAAAATGATCTCAGCAATCTCCCAAGAGCTAAGTTATTGCGGTTATGAGGCAATTTAGGTGGAGAAGAAATATCAAAGATTGCTTCACCATTTTGCGCAGAAAAATCTCGCTGCACTACTGACATACTTCTTCTCAATGATGGCATTGTATCATAAAGCATATAATCTCTTTCCAATACAAATTGCCGTCCTTGAAAGCAAGAAAACCCACAGTAGAGCTATCCACAGCAACAAAACTGAGTCATTCTAGATGTGCACCAAATTGCCGAACAACCCTTTAAAATACCAGATTGAAATGCCAATACACCAAGCAGAAATTGAAACCTTTGCAAATATTGAACCCCACAAAACTGAATTATGAACTAATAACTCTAAACACCTTGTCAAATAAAATTTATTCAAATTGCTTATCCAAAGTACATTGGTTGAAACAGTGAAAGTGACCCAGAAAACAGTGAAAGTGACCCAGAAGACCAAAAATTGGACCAAAGATTGCCCAAATCTATATTAAGCACTACAAAACTTCAGGAGGCCAATATGCCCTAAATTTGGTGAATCTAAAAGAAATGCTTCGAACAATGGCAGCTCTTCTTTTTTTATATTGCCCTTGATACTTCCCAAGCTCTTGCTACTGCAGCTGGAATGGAGCAGGAGAATAAATCTCACTAAAAATCTTAACCAAACAAAAGAATCTTAAAAAATGCTCTCTTTAAAACAAAAGGAAAGCCCCATTACTTGAAACACTTCAAACCCATCACCAGATCTCAAGGGAACAATAATAAGCAAATACCCAATCATTTCAAAGAAAAGCAAAATCAAATTAAAAAAAACCCAAATCAACAAAACAAGTAAAGGTAAATAAATGAAAGAGAATTTGTCCTCACCGAGCTGAATGGAGATCTGGGCTTCGATTCTTTTATAGTAAAACTCCTACAATCTTAAAGATACGGCAGATTTCGGGCTTATCGGATTGCTCTGTAACGTTTCCGATATATCGGGGTCAAAGGAGAAGAGAGTCCAGAAGGCGAGAAAAAATAAACGGGAACAGAGAGAAGGGGTCTTGTTCTGGTCTTCTTTATCAAATTTGGCACGCTGATTCACGTGACCGTAATGTGACCAGAATTTAGGAAGAGCCACGTGTCATATTTGGGTTAATTACTGTGGGTTCACAGGTAAACCGGGTGCGGGTAAAATCTCATTTATTGACGGCCTTTTCTGACATAAGACGGGCGGGAAGATTCCGGCCGCTGCTGGGTTTGTTCGAAGAACTTATGTGCTTTGGGAGTAATTGGTAAATTTTAATTCTCATTAGTAAATTTCACAAAGCCCCTGACGTTTGGGTATTTTACTTTATACCCAATAACCTTTTAGTATAAAAGTCTCAGGCAAATTGGAGGACCAAATCATATTGATAGGGTCTGAACCGGATGTGAACATTACACCCTCATTGGCCCTCCAACAAATACCTCTTTAAACAAGGTGATTTTTTTTAAAGTTTTTTTTTTTAGAAACCATCATTAAAAATAGTATCGTTATATAAAAATCACCTTTCAATTTGTATTTAAACTATCTTTAAAGTGGGTTTTTATTCCAATCAATCACCTCCTAGACAAATTTTCACTTAAAATCCAAAAATATCCTTAGGGCTTGTTTGGATTGAGGGGAATGAGGGTGAAGGGAAGTTAGGGGAACCATTCACCTCCATTCACCTTATTTGGGAACACTTAGAAGGTGAAGTTAATTCACCTCCATTCACCTTGGTTCACCCCCTAATAGTATAAAAATTGTTACCCCCCAAATTGGGGTGTAACCAAGGGGAAGGGAATTCTCTTCACTTCCCTTCCTTTCCCTTCCCTTCCCTTCACTCAGTTTCTCTTAACTTCCCTTCACCCCCTACGAATCCAAACAGGCCCTTAGAAAAATCACAAGACACGTGACTCACTTTAGTCATATTTAGGCCAGTTAGATTACAACTCACGTACTTAAAATATGCATTTCTAAGGGTTTTTTTTTTTCAGTGGAATTTTGAATGGAAAGTCATTGACTAGAATAAAAACTAGTTTTGATTCTATAAGCTGGAGTTTCCTCATTAATTTGTTAAAGGCTAGAGGATTTGGTGATAAATGGTGCTCCTGGATCTATCACATTATATCTTCATCCAATTGTGCAGTTCTTGTTAATGGATCTCCTTCCAAATTTTTTAGATGTCATAGAGGCCTTAAACAAGGAGATCCACTTTCCCCCATGTTATTCAACATATCCGCTGATGTTCTGAGTAAAATGATTATGTGTAATGTGGAAGAGGGTGTTTTTTCTAATCTGCATATTAAGGAACCTCTCAACTTCATTAGAAGTTTACAATTTGCAGATGACACTCTTATTTTTGTCAAGAGTACATACAAAGACATTTCTGTTCTAAAGACCCTTCTCTACATCTTTGAAGATATATCTGGTTTGGCCATTAACTATAACAAATCCTCCCTTATTTATTTTGGGCATATCCAAAACAGGGGATCTTGTTTAGCATCAGCTCTCAATTGCAAACTTGATAAACTTCCTATCAAATACTTGGGCTTACCTTTAAAGGGAGGTAAATTAGCCAAATCTGATTGGCAACCTATGCTGGATAATTTGAATAGGAAGCTTGCTTCATGGAAGAGGAATTGCTTATCTTTTGGTGGTAGAATTGTTCTGTTAAACTCCGTCCTTTCCACAATTCCTTTATACTATATGTCCTTCCATAAGCTTCCAGGCTGGCTGATTAAAGAGGTGGATAAAATCAGAAAAAATTTTCTTTGGACAGGCAACAACCAATCCAAACCCTTCAAATGCTTAGTCAACTGGAAAAGGGTTTGCCTAAGTAAATCAGAAGGTGGACTGGGAGTGAAAGATCTTAAATTGTTTAATATCTCGTTATTATCTAAGTGGTTATGGAAATGCTTAGATAGAGACTCTTTCATAGGTGCTTTTCTCTTCCAATTATATGTCAGAAAGGCTTCCTCCCTGCAACTATCTACCAGTAATAACCAGAATTCTATGGTCTGGAATGATATCATGTCAAATAAAGAAGCTTTCCTCCATCTTATATCATGGTCCCTAGGTATTGGTACAAATATCAGATTTTGGGAGGATAAATGGATTGGTGAAAATACTTTATCTAGTTTATATCCATCTATTTATAGTCTTGCCTTATCCTCTAATGTATCCATTCGTAGTCAAGGTCTGTTCCACAACAATACTTGGCACTGGCATCCTACTTTAAGGAGAAGTATTTCTTTAGTTGCAATCTCAGCAAAATCTGATCTTATTCATCTTCTTGGTTCTTTCAAAGTGAATAATGAAGTTGATGTTCCTAAATGGTCTCTTACTGCAAATGGATGTTTTTCAGTCAAATCATTTTATGACTTCTTAAACACCAGAGGTGTTATGTTTGCATTTCAGAAAGTTGTATGGAATCCTATTATACCAAGCAAAGTTCAGATTTTTTCATGGCTTATAGCTATGAACCGTCTTCATACAAAGGACAATCTCATTAAGAAAGGTTGGCAATGGGATTCTTTATGTATTTTCTGTGGTATTCAACCAGAAACTTGCAACCATATCTTCTTTTCATGTAACATAACAAAAAAAGTCTGGAAACACTTCAGCAACTACTGCTTACCTTTTGTTTGGCCTGCATCTCTCGATGGACTTTTATCATCTGTTGAAACTCTTCAAAATAAGGAAGGTGTTATGTGGCGTTCTATCTTTTCAGCAGTTTGTTGGAACATATGGAGCTCAAGAAACAAATTCATCTTTGAACACTTATCTTTCTCTGTCCATTCCATCATTAACTCTACTATTGCTGCTCTATGTGAATGGGCAGGTTATGCCAGCAAGAAGAATGCACTCATCTTAGCGCGAGCTTTGGAGGAGAATCCGATCAGAAGGAACAATGTATGAAAATCTCAAGTGGGTTTTTGGAAGTTGTATGTTCATATTTCATAATACTTCTGTAGTCAGTCTTTTTGGCTTTTCTAATTAGTCTATAGAAATTTTAATTTCCTAATACTATATGTATGGCCGGCTTTGGTTCTCCTTTATATCTATGTCAACGGTGAATGACGTCAAGGACCTCTCTTCATCTTCATGGATATCTAGGAGAAGAAGGTTATACATCCCTAGATTGGAAAATTCTATTTTCTATCTACTAATTTCCTTATAAGGATACAGTTCGTATCCTTCTTTTGTAAAGATACTTGTAAGTTTTTAATTTAATGAACAGGGTAAATCCCTTGTTTTTTACCGTCAAAAAAAAAAACCTGGGTGCCAGTCCAAAGACTAATTAATGATTGGGTGTTAAATGGGACTAAAAAACCTAGTATATTTAGCCGAAGTCCCGTCTGATTTTTCTTTTTCTTGTTTGGTGAGGATTAGTTAAGTGGCCCCGTGACACAAAATCATTTTTGTTCCTATTTCGCTATTACATTTTTTGGTTGGACACCCCTACGGTCTACAAGTAACAAATTCTGGTGTGGGATTTGATTGGTAACCATAGAAATTAAAATTATCTCATGAAAAAGTTGTAGAGCATGGTATCAAAAGAGTAAAAGATGGCATTATTATACACGTGAAATCTATAAAAAAAAAAGGTTGGTGTCTTTCTGTGATAAGACCCCTAGGGGTGACGATTTGAGTGCACACCAATACGACATAAATGATTTTTATTCTTTTTTTAACCTATAAATGGTTTTTATTCTTGTTTTTTTTTGTTAGGTTGTAAGTTGAGAGAGTAAATAATGGGAGGAGTTTATTCTCTGTCAATGACAAATGACTAGATCGAAGTTTTTCTTCTCTCAAGAGCATCGTAGATATTTGACATTTAGATTGGGGCTCGTTGGAAAAATTTGGAAGTTTGGGTACTTTTTGTGGGACAGCTGAATAGTTATTGGAAAAAGAGTTCAAGAGGGTCTCAAAAATCCAGAGGGGTATCCTGAAGATTACCCTCATTTTCTCCTCTGATAATTATTTCGTAGGTAAAAGGTTTTGCCGATATCAACACCCGAATATTTCGTATATTGAAATTAGCCCTCCATCTTCATATTTGAACTTTGTCCTCAAAATTTTAAGCGTTTTGATATTAATCCGCCAACTCTTCATGTTTTAAAACCAATCCCTCAAATATTTAAAGTTCTTTGAAATTAGTCCCCAAAAAATTTCAACCTGGCTCTAACTAGAGGGATTAATTCCAAATTATTTAAAATATTCAGGAACTAATTTTGAAATATGAAGATTTGGGTGAATAAAAACGCTTAAAGATTTCGGGGGACTAATTTCAAAATATGTAACTCTCGGGGGGCAATTTGAAAACATGAAAGATGTGGAGACTAAACTTGCGTGTTTTTGGCAACCTAATCGGATCCTACCAGGAATGACCCGAATCCGATTTAGGTACCCGCCTTGGGTTCATACTTCATACACATCCCTTTACCCCCGTCGACCCCTTTCAATAAAGGATGGTTTTTTGGGTAACTTCACTCTTTACGATCCTATTTCCCGCCAGGAGATCGAGCTCCCTCGACAAACCTACAACTGCCCTCGCAATTTTAACCACGCTTGTGCAATCTCGCCTCCGCCCGACTACATAGTTTCGATTAGCATTTACTTGATCAACTGGTTTATTTCGGATTGGATCAAACTGGAGCTGCCAATGGGAGCGAAACCCGCTCAGAAGACGGTATCTCGCGGCACGAAGCATTAACTGCATTTACTCGGATCGATGCAGGGACCGAGGTTTCTATTCTTATGATTTGTTAGTGGTGGATGCGATTGCAGCTCCGGCTAGGATTGAATATTTTTGTTAGTCTAAGTGTGTAGACCCGAAGCTGCAATCGAAAAGACGAAGAAAACAGTCAGAAGACTATGCGGTGTCTATGCTTAGGGCGTGGTGCGCACTCCGGGCGGCGCCGGGGGCCGGCGTTCCGCCCTGGGTAGAAACCGGCCCGGGCCGGGCAAAGAACCCAAGCCGGACCCGGGGGCGCCGGGGCGGCT